GGGAGACGACAGCCTTCTGGTTGCTCGAGAGCCTCCTGTTGAAATGAATGCCTTCGATGCACTGACCGGCCCTGGGCGGAGGGGAGCAGTCGTCCCAGCACTCAGTTCTCTGCACACCGGGGACACCAAGTGGCCAGCGCTTTGGGGGAGGCTAAGCCAAGGTGACCCTTTACCGGTTGGACGTCTTCCGTGGTGACTGAGGGCGTGAGGCTGTGGGAGAGACTCGACCTTTCTCGGCGCTCACATTGTGTTCCCACCTTTACTCCTACACGGCGGCCTCGGTTGCTCAGCATTAGGGGCCCCCAGCCCACTTACTTTACTAGGAAGTCACAGAAGCCACACTCAGTGTGGCTGCAGTGCCACCTGCATTTGCTGCTCAAGGACGGTGTTGCAGATCCCCATGGGGGAGTGTTTTCCAAATTGCCTTTCAAGGAATGTTCGAAGGCACTAGTGGATCAAAAGGGAAGAAGCTCTGGCTTAAGCCAAGTTGAACTCATTTTGTGCTGCAAGCCTTTCAGAGCCGGGGAATGTTTCCACATCTCCGGGGGGACATGGGGCAGGGGCAGGGGCCTGGCTGGAGCGTGGACATCACTTCGGGCTTTAGCACAACATCTCCTAAGTCTAGTGTTCCCTGGAGCACACTTGGGAAATCCTGATATGTACCAATGGAAAAAACAGAGCGTTCCCTGACTCCATCAACCCTTTAGCTACGGCTGTTATTCCAAATACGAGAGAATCGAATTGCTTCGTACCAAGTGCAAGACAATCGAATTGCTTTGTACCTCCAGAAGGGTGTGGGGAATTAGATGTGGCAGTGAAATACAACCCCGCCTCGAGCAGGAAAGCTATTCTAAGCTGTTGCCTCTGTCCTCTGCATTGTGTGCTTGAAACAGATGCGTGGTGTGTTGTAAGGGATCAGTGGGGACACACTGGGCTGTCACGTTAGTGCACTCAGAGCTACATGTAAGAAGCAGAGGGATTCACGCGACAGTTTTGTACCTTCAAGGATAATATTTTCTTTGTAATACCTTATTTATTTGCAAAGCCTTACCCTGTCCTGAACTTTCATTGTCATTATGTACCTGATGTTTGATGACTGAGGACAGGTACTTCTCGGGGCTAACACCTGACACTTCTGTATGGTCTGTGGCTTCCTGCTTATCTGCGCTTTTCCTTATAGCTTTCCTATTTTTTCCCATTTGCCTTCATTTTCCTACCTATTCCATTTTGTGGAATGGGCGTTTGAGCCGAGATTATGTCCCAACACGGTATGTTGGGTGTGAGAGCACAAGTGACTTGTCTTTTTGCTCATTAGTCGCTATCGAGAGGATCTCAAATTAGATTTAATGTTCAGTAAACCATCTGGACTTGAGAGAAAAAAAGACGAAGTCATTTCAGAACAGCCTAAATGAATAAGCATGACAAAGCCCCAAGAATTATCTCTATTGTGCATCTTCCTGTCCTTTGAATGCCTTCAACTTAGAGAAAGGTGGTTTTTCCTTTCCTTCGATGACATGTCCGTGCAAACAAATGTTTCAGAGCTCTGTTCCTGATTTCTTTAAGGTCATTTGCATTGTGGTTTTGCTCTGACTCTTCACTGCAGAAACTTTTCTTTTCCTGTATATGTTTTTGTTTTTTTATTTCACTTATTTCGGAAAAAGAAACCAGCAGTTTTTTTACTGAGTATTTAGCTTTTTATTTAAACCAAAACCAGGCAGGGCTACTAGGCTGTGTGGGAGGGCAGAGAGGCACCACACAGTCCCCTCCGCCCTGGCACTGGCAGATGACCTTCCAGCGCACCTGCCATGGTGAGCATCGGTGATGGTCGGCACACACCTTTGCTTGCCTCACGCACAGCAAGGGGACGGGCAGCCTACAGATCTGACTTTGCTCTTCATGGAGGCAGGGAGCACCAGGTGTGCTGCGGTGTTAGCATGTTAGCATGTTTGGCAGACTCTGAAGGGAGCCTGACGTCGGACTCCTCTCAGGCTGACATCCAGGATGGCTTTTCACAAGCAGAGGAGACAGCGCTAGTCGGTGGTATAACCAGTGGTTTCCTACCTGAGAGCAAATGGCTTTTCCCCAAGGCTCCAAAGACCCTCAGGCTGCAGCATCTTACCTCCTGAGATGTTGTTTGTTGAGTGATTGAATGAACATTGATTCTCTCTGGTGTGCATGTCTTTACATCCCATGACTGCATATAATAGCCGGGAACCACCAGCAAAAACGAGGTCGAGTCTTCCCAGTGGCCAAGAGTTTGGACAGAAATGGGTCTCGGTGTGAATCCAAACACACTAATGCCGTTGCTTCTCACTCGTGGCCATTATGTTTGGACCATCACAGTGAGCGCTGGGTCAGTAAATGCTGGACCGCTGCTTCTGTGGGAAATAGAGCATCAGTCCCGCGATGAGAGCCTCCGGTCACAACATTTTCATCCACCGATCGGTGCACAACCTGGGTTTATGTGTATTTCTGTGAGGACACGTATTTAATGGATATACTGATCGTTAACAGTGAACTCGGCCAACAGCACTAGGCTCAGGCCTGAATGAAGCTTATCTAACACACGTTTTCTCTGCAAGACACATCACAGTCTCCTTGTGCTTGGGAACGCCGGACATCACTGCAGCACCACGCTGGGGGCCTCACGCAGCAACGTCGCCAGTAAAAGGCACAAAAATGCAAAGAATGTGGCACATGTGGACTGGGATAAGGACGCTTGTTTGCGTCAGGAGAGGGGAATCTGGAAACCAGAGCCTCTCCATTCCCGACCTCTGTTGGGACCTGGACACCAGTCTCTGCCCCTCTATCCGTGTCCACGGTGACCAAGCGCGTTGTGCAAGTATTGATTTGGGGGTTTTAGATAAATTATCAAGTAAGCAACTTCACAAACTCAGGCCAGCAAATAATGAGGATTCATTATATTTTCTATTAATTAAGCCAAATAAAAAAAAACCCCACAAAACACGGAAAACGTAAGATGATGTAAGATTAACTACTGTGCGATGACAAAATTATACTTCTCCTGTATCCCCAACTCTCATTCTTCTTTTGATTTTGTCCTACCCATGAAAACTATAAAACAGAAAAAGAGGTTGGGGCAGATTGGGACCGTTTGCTATAGTTTGCCCACTCTTGTCTTAAAATTTATATTCTTAAAAGTATGTCGTGTCAGAGGGAATCATGTGCTGTTTGTCCTGTGACTGGCTTACGAGGCTCAGGGTCATGTCCTCCTCCAGGTTTATCCATATCATAATGTAGTGTTGAAAATTTTTGCCTTTTTAAAGGCTGAATAGTATTCCATTGTATGTGTAGACCACATTTTGCTTATCCACTCATCTGTCAGTGGACAGGTGGTTTCCATCCATATTTCAGCTGATGTGATGACTTCTGCTGTGAGCTGCACGGTTTTATGGCATGCTAGGTTTGTGCCTCCACCACCCCCGTGACCACCTCAGCGCTTCTGGCACCACGAGCACTGTGCCTGCTGCCCCTTGGTAACCACACCCACCTCCCCGTGTAACCACACCCACCTCCCCCGTTCCTTCTCCCTCCAGCCCCGAGCCCTGACAACCGCCTGTCTGTCCTCCATTTTTAAAATTCTGACATCACACCATGTTACGGAAATGGAGTCGGATAGGATGGACTCTTGTGACTGGCTTCTTCACTCAGCGTGATTCTCCAGAGATCCATCCAAGTTGTCGGGTCTGTCGGTGGTCGGTTGCTTTTTCTTCCTGAGTGGTAGCCCACGCTATGGGTGTAACCACTGTCTGATTGTTCGCCATCGGAATGGCATCTGGACTGTATCCGTTTTCTGGCCGTCGTGAGTAAAGCTTCTGTAGACGTGTGTGCGGGTTGTGATAGGAATGAAGATGCTCACTCCTCCAACAGTGTAATCGCTGGGTTGTGTTTGAAGACTGATCGTCTGCATGGTGTGTGAGCCATGGTCTCCTTGGTACGGTTTCCTGCTGTGTGAAAATGGAGGTTAGAGTCGTGTCATGTGGATCTTTTATCATCAGTAATAGTCTGACATCGGACACCTTGAGACAATTTTGTTAAGAAAATTGGTAACTTTGTCACTGGTTCTTTTTTCTCCTTTGCCTCAGTTTCTCTGAAGTGGCTCCAACCATCTCAAAAATAATCATTTCTTCCAAGAACCTCAGAGCTTGTTGCCTTTCTTCTGTTGTCTTACTTCTCCCATGATCAAACAGTTGAAAACCCCTCATGATTTCATAGCAGAGATTTTTGTATCATTCTCCCCCAAATTCACGCTCTGCCATCTGAATTTCAGCCAGCACAGCCTCTTCTCTCTGTGACTGATAGGATGTGTTTCCTGGAACTGTTGCCCTACGAGTAGAGCCTCGTAGCCTGATCACAGCTGACCTTTATAGCTGTAAGTCCCAGTCCCCCTCCTCATGGCCGTGGTCCATCCCAGGGCCTTGGCACATGCCCTGGAAGGCGTCTTACCCTGTTCACGCTGTTAGCTCATGCAACTATCAGCTCGAATGCCACCTCCTCATGGGAGGTCCTCTGGTACATGTTCTTCTGTATCCTGTCCTCTTCTTTCATAACACTTTAAAAATTGCAGTTGTGTATTTTAGTTGTTTAAAACCTAGAGCCCCACATGGTCCATTCTGGTTATGGAGTCCTCTCAAAGTTGACCGGAAAATATCTTTTCCTTTTTTTCCTTTGCTTTGCTTTCCTTTTTCCTTTTCATCTTATCAACAGAAGATAGCAGTTCTTGATCAGGAACTCATCTGGTGAGTTCTTGAGGTAGGGCGCCTCTGGCCCACCCGTTCACCTCCCTGAAAACGGGGTTCAGATCTCAGTTATTTCTGTAGTTTTAGGCCCTTGGAGCATTGACTGGCAGATAATAGCTGTTTCATTTTGCGGGAAACACGAGTAGATGAATGATTGAAGCTACATGTCTTCTACATTGGATATGTTGGTAAAAGTCAGACGAAATGAGTGAATAATGAAAATCTTTCTTAATTTTCCAGGTGGTTTTTGAAGTCATAACTTCTGGACATCCAGGCTACCTCGCTATTGATGAAGTCAAGGTGTTGGGACATCCATGTAGTAAGTCGCCTCAGCTTTTCAACATCCGGGTCCATCTTTGGGGACATATTTAGGTTACAGATTAAAAGAAGGCACTACAACCTGGAGAAGTCGTCCTGCCCAGAGAGTCCCTGATGGGTCTCTCGGTGCTGCTTTGCTAGCCCAGAAGTTCAAAAACATGTATTTCTTGTGTGATGTCATTGTACGTCCCTAAGTGTCTTCAAAATGAAAATCAGGAACGGGGGCTGAAGGAACACGTTGGTACGCTCAAATAGCCAAGCCCAGAACAGAGCTTCAGGAGCTGAGTGACCATAACTCAGCAAATGTGTGTCTGCGTGTGTGCGTGGGTGTGTGTGTTCATGTGTGTTTGCGCAAGAGTGTGTGCGTGCTTGGGTGTGGTATTTCCCGTAAAAAGTAAAGAACGTCATGTTTGCCTTTTGTACATTCTAATGAGTGGTGTATACTGTGCAAATGACTCTGTATGCTTTTTTTCACCCGCTTAATATTTTATTTTGGGTTCGATCCCTTATATTGTACCATATGAATATACTACGTTCTATTTTTCCATGCATCTATGAACTTTCAGTCCCCACCCCCAGTTTTTGTATGACCATCACGGCTCCCGTGAGCATCCCAGCGTGCGCCTCTGAGAACCTGCGCGGGGCTTATCACTAGAAGCGGCATTGCTGGGATACGGGATAGAAACTTTTTTAATTTTACTAGATGCTGCCAAATTGCTATGAAAAGTATCTGAGCAGTTGATATTCCCACCAGCATGGAAGTTTTATTTGCTCTATATCCTTGCCCAAAATTGATATTGTCAAACTTTAAATCTTTGAGCATCTTAGGGATGGCAGCCCGCCTTATTTTAAGGTTCCCCGGCAATAAAGAGAAATTGGCCCATTCAGATGATTCTGGATCTCTGCTGAAGGTCCCTCCCCAGATTCATAAGAGAATGGTTGTGTCTACAGTGATATTAGAAATACAGACTCAGGCAGGAGTTCTGCTTTTGCTGCACGGGTTGAAGAGATGGTGTGCTCGCTCCCTGTGCGGGTTCCAGAGAAGCCTGGGTGGTTGTTATCCGATGGGGTATCAGGACCCCGTCGTCTGCTCCCATCCAGAGGGGCTTTGCCCTCGGGTCTTTAGCTGGTGCTCCAAGTTCAAGCCCGACAGTCACCCTGTTCATTACCAAGGCAGACGTTACCTTTGTAGTACATTGCATTGGCCTTTTCTTCTGTCTGGCAGCAAGACCTTTGAGTTGAAGAGGAATCTGTCCCCCCTTTTCTTCCCGAAAAGACGAGTAAACAAGCACTGCTGTATCTAATGGGAACATCAGGGCAAATTTAGGAAGCAGAATATAATTACCTGAGTTGGAACTTGGCCAATCCTCAGAGTAATAGCCCCGGGCTTGGAAAAATGCCATGGGAACTTCTAATGTGTGTGATTGTCCAAGCCTCTGATTGGCCTCTTCCCAGGCGATAAAAAGACGATAATACTGTAGGCATACTATGTGCTGATTGCTCCGTTTCTCAGAGCAAAACTGGCCATGAGGCAGGTGTCACTGATGCTCTGGGTGCAGGTGCAGTGGCCGCTGGCCAACAAAATAGCTCCTGAAATGTAGTCACTCCCATCCCACAGGATTTGAGTCACTGCCTTCAGGAAGATAGAAAGACTTAATGTTTTTTCTTCTATCAGAGCCTTCCTGAAATGTGTCTCCTGCAGTTTTGTTCATTTCTCCCAAGCCCAGCTGCCTGCAGCCATAGAAATGGTGTTTATGGTGTGTCCTTTGGAGAATACTGGTGCTAATACCTAATTGGCTTTGCAAAGTGCTGTTGGGAGATACAGAATCACAGAACAGGCTCTGTCCTGAGGTGATGGATGGTACCATGGTGTGTTGCACTGTGAGCTTTAAATGGTTTTGATGATAGCCTTTCTGTAGTTATTTTTTTCCTGAATCTCGGAGTTTATGGGGAAAACATGCAAATAAAGATTTTAAAGAAGGAAATCATTTGGTCTTAAAATGGAAAGCTTTCTAATTTGTATTCTAAGGAATTTCCTATCAAGACTTCTAAATAATAATCAATTATTTTGAAAGGCTGCTGCTCATTAAATTTACACTGTAAAGGAGCATAAATATTGCATATCTGAAAATGTGCTTTCCAAAAAGATGCAAAACTGCTCAACTGTATTTACTTTGCTCTAAAGGCTCCTGTTTGGATTCATATAGGTTTATGAGCAGGCATTATGACTTTTTTTTGAAAGTAGCTTTTCTGTTAAGATTATACAGTTGCTCATAAAATTGATTTTCGTGTAGGGCTGGTGAGATGCAGGATCAGCCTGAAATGTAGAGATGGCTGTGCAGACCCAGCAGCTCTCTGGCTTCGGACTACTTCTAATGAACAGAGATGATTTTTGTTATTTGGTATACAGGCAAAAATATATTTTGAGTTTGGTTCAATAATCCTAGTAGGAGAAACTGAAGAAGCATTTTTTCCACTTCGTAATGTTGTCTCCTGTTTTCAAGTCGGTTGTAACTTACGCATATGTGGGTATTACTGTGATGACTCTGTGGTGTTATTACTTTGTGATGTATTTTGTTATCTTACAAGCCTTGCAGCATTTTAACATCACATATCATGCAATTCATCCACTCCAGGGGTAGGATTCAGTGGTTTTTAGTATATGCAAGAGTTGTATGACCATCACCATGGTCAGTTTCAGAACATTTCCATCACACCAGAATGAAACCCTGTCCCTGTTTTAACAGTCATTCTCAATTTCCCCCCGCCCCACCAGAAGCCTGGGCGACCACTAACGTGCGTTCTATCCCCGTGGATTTGCTTTCTCTCCGTACTCTGATTCAGTGCGACCGTGGTCCTGTGTGTCTTCCTGCTTCCACTCAGCATGACATTTCGTGGTCTATCCAGGTTGTAGAGTGTATCAGTACTTCATTCTTTCCTAAGTCTAGTAATATTCCATTGTGTAACAGACCACACTTTCCCTTTATTCATCAGCTGGCAGACAATCAAGTTGTTTCCAGCTCTTGGCTACTGTGAGTAATGCTGCTGTGGACATGTACGTACAGGCTTCTGCATGGACATTTGCTTTCAGTTCTCTTGGTTGTAGACTCAACAGTAGACTTGCTGGATCACATGGTATCTTTATGTGTAGTATTTTGAGGAATTGTGAAATTGTTTTCCAAACTGGCTGCACCATTTTACACTCTGAGCGATGCGATATGAAGGTTCTAATTTCTCCATGTTCTTGCCAATGTTTATCATTATCCGTCTTCTTTAATCACAGCCACCCTCGTGGGTTTGAAGTGGAATCTCTTTGTGGTTTTAGTTCTCTCATGGCTGATGATGTTGAGCAGCTTTTCATATGCTTATTGGCAACTTTTATGTCTTTTTTTAAAAAGTAACTATTCAGATCCTTTCCCCATTTTTAACTGAGCTATTCATCTTTTACCATTGGGCTGTAGGAGTTTTTAAATATATCTGGATACAAGTTCCCTTCAGATACATACTTCTCCCCAGTTGGTGGGTTATGCTTTCATTTTCTTGATGACGTCCTTTGCAGTACAAAGTTTTTCATTTTAGCGAAGTCCAGTGTTCTGCCTTGTCACTTGTGCCACTTGTGTCATTTGCTGTTAATGCTTTGCTCATCCAAGATCAGAAAGGCTTACACTACAGTTTCTTTAAGAGTTTTATAGTTTTAACTCTTACACAGAGGTCTGCGATCTGTTGTGAGTTAATGTGTATATATGATTTAAGGAAGTGGTGTGACTTCAATCTTTTTGCATACGGATACCCAGTTACTCCTGCCCCACATGTTGAAAGGTGTTCTTTCCCCACTGGAGTGTCTTTGCCTCTTTTGTTGGAAGTCAGTTGATGTAAATGTAAAGGCTCATTTCTGGACACCTGGGTCTATCCTGTTGATCTACATGTCTGTCCTCTGCCAGCACCGCACTTTGTTGGCACAAACTTTGAAGTAAGTTTGAAATGCGGATCTGTGAATCCTCCAGCTTTGTGCTCCTTCTTAGTCTTGTCGTGCCTGTTCTGGGTCCCTTGCCTTTCCATATGAATTTTCAGAGAAACATCCCCATTTCAGCCAAAAAGCCAGCTAAGTTTTTGGTAGGAGTTGCTTTGGGGGGGGGTTATTGCCATCTTAACAATATTAGGTGTTCTGGTCTATGAACATGGGCTGTTTTCCCTTTTATGCACGTCTTCTCATATTTCCTTTGATACTGTTTATAGTGTTCAGGGTACAAATTTCATATTGATTTCTGTTAAATTTATTCCTGTGTGTTTTATTTTGATGCTACTATAAGTGGGATTGTTTTCTCAATTTCAGTTTTGGATTTTTCACTGCACACGTATAGCAATACATTTTTTGTATTTGACTTTTGTGTATTGACCTTGCTTCCTGAGACCGTGTTGAACTTATTTATTATAAGCTCTGATTTTTCTGGATCCTTAGGATTTTCCAAACTGTCTCTTGTTTAAGCTGAGTTAGTTTTACGTCCTGCTTTTCAGTCTGGATGCCTTTTGTTCTCTTTCTTGCCTAATGGTCATGGCTAGACCTCCGGGCCACGGCTGAGTGGAAGTAGGGAGAACACACATCCTTGTCGTGCCCCTGTCTTAGGAGGGGAGCTTCTAGCCTTTCACCATTAAGTGTGATGTCAGCTGCGGGCTTGAGTTTTTCTTAGATGCGTATTATCAGGAAGGACATTCCTTTTTATTCCTACTTTATTGGGTGTTTTTTATGAATCAATTATGAAAGGGTGTTGGATTTTAGCAAATGCTTTTTCTTTAGGTAGGAGAGGAGAAAGTTCTCCCCGACCTTCTTAGGGTCCCTGGCTGGGTCTGAAATTTAAACTGGCAAAGACAGACAGCTGGGAGGAAAGCATTCAGGTGTATTTCGTGTGTGTTTTATGTGACACAGGCGCTCTGTAGGAAATGAGGACCCAAAGAAACAGACCTGAGTGTCTTTATTGCCAGTTTTGAGTGTATTTATGTTAG